TGAAACTAGGCATGATGTCAAGTTTGTCTTTGCACTTAATGTACGTGTGTGTGTGTGTGTGTGTGTGTGCGCATGCACACATTTTCCTAAAAAAATAAATAAATGCAAATAGCAGGGTTTTTTGTGGGGGCTGATAATTAGCACCTGCTCTTTGCACTTTTAAAAACAGCATGCTAAGTGCAAATCCACATATATCTTGGATCAAATCTACACCATACACTTAAAACTTATGCATATCATTTTTACAGCCATGGCTTCTCCCGAAAGAATCTTGGAAACTGAATTAACCCCTCCCAGAGCTACACTTCCCAACACCTTTAACAAACTATCATTCCAAAGATTATTTGGGGGAGGCTGTGTGAACCTTGACAGGCAGCATATATGGCACCCCTGAGGCCTCAACACAGGCGAGTCAAGGTGCATAGTATAAAAGACTGGTTATTTATTTTGGCACCTGGGGCAAATAATAATAATAATCCCATAGCGACCATTTTCACTCCTTGTTAAGTTAAAACACAATGAGTTGTATCCAACTAAGTCCTGCTCAGAGTACACCTATTGAAATTAATAGGGCTAAGTTACTCATGTCCGTTAATTTTAATGAGTCTATTCTGAGTAGGACTAACTACAGCCCAATAAAAAGAAATTAAAACACTAACTATTTTATTCCTTTTCATGAAACTTAAAAATCGGCCGTGGGCAATGGCCACCTCACTCTGCCTAAGGGTAGGCGGTCCTGACATGAGAATATATAATTAAGATTTTTTTTTTTTAACGAAGGCAGTGGGACAGCATAAATGTAAGATTAAAAAGTGGCTTCTCCAGAAAACCAATGAAAACAACCGTCAGCTAGGCCAGCCAAATGCCTGTCGGAAAAAGAGGCAGGCTTATTCAATCGCAGCAGTCAGGCTTATTTGACAGCTGATGGTCTTTTAAGTATTCTGGTCCTAAGTCACAGACACACATGGAAAAATCTGGAGGCAGCTGTATGGGGAATGACGCACCACTTCACCTGCACATCACCGCTGCTGTTCTAAAAGCCATTCAAAGAAAAGCTACTCTAGCTCACTATGTCTATTCTCTTTGTTGCAAACCACTCTCAAGGTTTTCACGCAGTAGTATATAGAAAGGCAGTTGTATCAAAAAGGATCCAAATGGGGATGGACACACACACACACCTCTAGCATTGCAGGGCTCATCAGTGGAGAGATGAGCTAGGGGTCAGGGTTAACCCTAAGGGCACCATGAATATAATTGGTTAAACTAATGAGGTCATTTGCCAGTTCTGGCTGAGGTGGAATTCCTGTTACCCATGAGCGGTGAAACCAGTGTCATGTATGCAAGAGTGTGACCTGTCCACAAAATTGGTAAGAATCAGTTAAGGTGAAACCTAACAAATGAATGTTGGAGGGGAAAGCAACTCCATGTAAGGAACAAGGGGGATTATGATAGGTGCCGTGAAAAAAATGGGTGGAACAAGTTGCATTTCAAGGACTGTGGTTGGATGAAGAGATGGCAAGATGCTGAGGGAATAAAAGGCGTTTGGGTTGGAGGACAAACAGCTGACACATATTTTGTCTATATCGTTTGTATCCTTGTGGAAGGCTCTCACAGACTCGTTGAACCATGTCCAGTAATGCATTACAGTCATACCTCATGTTACGTCCGCTTCATGTTACGTTCTTTCAGGTTATGTCCTGCGGCGACCCGGAAGTACCGGAAAGGGTTACTTCTGGGTTTCGCCGCTCATGCATGCGCAGACGCACAAAATGACGTCGCGCGCATGCGCAGAAGCGGCGAATCGCAACTTGCTCGTGCGCAGACATGCCGCTGTGGGTTGCCCTCTTTTCATGTTGCGAATGGGTCAGAATGGATCCCGTTTGCAACCAGAGGTACCATTGTATTGAATAAAGTCTGACTAATTGAAAATTTGGTGTGTGATCCTCCATACCTGAACCCCGAGGGAAGTTTCCCCCACATGGCTCAATAAGACCTTATATCAGAATAAGTGAATCAAAGCAGGCTTGGGGAACATCACATGATTAAAAAAAAACCAAACACTCCTGGGAGTACAGAAGATGCATTCTTTACAGTGTGCATGATTCATAGCCTCCCCCTACCCACCTCTACACATCCACACTCATTCTGAGAAATCTCAAGACTTGTAGCACCTTCAAAATGTCACTGGGGAGTTAGAGGAAATCTAGAGAATTTAGTAGACTTTCTTGCTATTTAATCAATCATGGCTTGGCAGCTGGGCTGGAAAGTTTGCAATTAATCTAATTTGGGGGTGGGGAGCATCCACTGAATGATAACTGATCAGCCTTACTTAGCAGCCAGGGAGGGTGCTTGCCAAAGGCCACTGAGCTTGGACCCCTCCAGCAGCACCATCCCAGAGGTGGAGCCCACTCTTTATCTCCCCATGTTGTTGTTGCCATCCGTCTGCCTTGAGAGACAATGGCGTGCGCCTCCAAGCATGAATTCCAAGGGGTGCATTAGTGGCACTGAAGTGACCTCCGCAGGGTGCAAGCCTGGCCAGTGTGTATGGAGGTCCTGGGCTTCCCAGATGACAAGACCCTCTTCTTGGCCTCGCTAATGTGGTTCACAAGAAATCAGAGAAATACATTTGGCAGCAGCTTGACTACAGGAGTTGCCATAAGGAGGCCTACAAAGCGCTGTCCGACCAGAGGGACTCCACTCTGGATTTGTGTAAGGTTTTCTCCTTAGCCTTTTCTTCTCCCAAAGATGTCCAACAAGGCAGAGGAGGTTTAGAATCAGACTTTTCCTTCTCCTAGATGGGCTGCCTTCCCGAGTTGACCAGCCCCATCTGCCCCATCTCTCCTTATTACCCATGCTACAATCAGTAGACATGGCTGAATCTGTCGATTTCAGTTTCTCTAAGTTTGAGTGCAAAATATGGTCTGAAGCTCAACATCAAAAAAAACAAAGATCATGGCCACTGGTCCCATCACCTCCTGGCAAACAAAAGGGGAAGAAATGGAGGCAGTGAGAGATTTTACTTTCTTGGGTTCCATGATCACTGCAGATGGTGACAGCAGTCACAAAATTAAAAGACGCCTGCTTCTTGGGAGAAAAGCAATGACAAACCTAGACAGCATCTTAAAAAGCAGAGACATCACCTTGCCGACAAAGGTCCATATTGTTAAAGCTATGGTTTGCCCAGTAGTGATGTATGGAAGTGAGAGCTGGACCATAACGAAGGCTGATTGCTGAAGAATTGATGCTTTTGAATTATGGTGCTGGAGGAGACTCTTGTGAGTCCCATGGACTGCAAGAAGATGAAATCTATCCATTCCTAAGGAAATCAGCCCTGAGTGCTCACTGGAAGGACAGATCGTGAAGCTGAGACTCCAATACTTTGGCCACCTCATGAGAAGAGAAGACTCTCTGGAAAAGACCCTGATGCTGGGAAAGATGGATGGTACAGGTAGAAGAGAACAACAGAGGATGAGATGGTTGGACAGTGTTCTTGAAGCTACCAGCATGAGTTTGACCAAACTGCAGGAGGCAGTGGAAGACAGGAGTGCCTGGCGTGCTCTGGTCCATGGGGTCACAAAGAGTCGGACACCACTAAATGACTAAGCAACAACAACAACAAAAATTCAGTTCACCACATTTCCATCTGCATTCTCTGTCTCTCTCTTGCTCTCTCTTGCTCGCTCTCGCTCTCTGTCTCTCCGTGCGTGTCTTCAAGAAAATCCCACAGTATTTCAGTGCTGTCCCAAGAAGTAGAGCTGGCCACCAACTTGAATGGTTTTAAAAGAGAAATAGATAAGCTTGTGGAGGATAAATCTCTTAGTGGCCATTAGCCATGATGGCTGTGTTCTGTCTCCAATGTCAGAGGCAGTATGCCCCTGAATACCAGTTGCTAGGAACATCAGGTGGGCATAGTGCTGTTGTGCTCAGGTCCTGTTTGGGGGCATCAGGTGGTCACTTGGGGGAAGGGCCATAACTCAGGTGTAGAACATTTTCCATGTGTGCAGAAGGTTCCATGTTCAGTCCTTAGCATCTCCAGGTAGGGATGTGAATGACCCCCACTGGAGAGCTACTGCCAGTCAGTGTAGGCAATTCTAAGCTAGATGAGCCAATGATCTTCCTATAGGTTTCTATGCGACAGGATCCTGGAATTGATGGATTGATCCAACAGCCCCCTCTTATGTTCTTTGTGTGCAGCTCTCCTAATACACACATTTTTGTGTGCAGCTTTGCCTAACATACGCCGTTGTTGTTTTTACAAGCTGTTTGACCTATTTTAATGCATTTTCTTTACCTTTATGAATAGATGCATTTTTACATACAGTTCCCCCTAATATATGCATTTTTGTATGTATTCTTTGGTTGAAGAACTCTATTCCCAAAGTGGAAGAAGTGTGAATTCTGAAGGTTATCTGTATTTCAATTTGCATATTGCAACAGGAAGTTTGAATCCCCGTGACGGAATGATCTCCCATTGCTCGGTTCCAGCTCCTGCCAACCTAGCAGTTCAAAAGCACATCAAAGTGCAAGTAGATAAATAAGTACCGCTCTGGCGGGAAGGTAAACGGCGTTTCTGTGTGCTGCTCTGGTTTCCAGAAGTGGCTTAGTCTTGCTGGCCACATGACCTGGCAGCTGTACGCCGGCTCCCTCGGCCAATAAAGCAAGATGAGCGCCGCAACCCCAGAGTCGGTCACAACTGGACCTAATGGTCAGGGGTCCCTTTACCTTTACCTTTACAGGAAGTGCAAATTAGGGCTCCCCCATCCTTACACAGACGTTGAGATTCCTATATTGCAGGGCGATACACTAGATGACCCTCAGGGTTCCTTCCAACTTTACAAGTCTATGATTCCTTCAATGGGATTTATTCCCATGTAAATGTAGGAATCAGAAAAAGCTGCCTTATACTGAGTCACACTTTCGGTCCTTCTTCCTCAGTATTATCTACAGTGATTGACAGAGGCTCACCAAGATTTCAGACTGGGTTCTCTCTCAGGTCTACCTGGTGATGTGGGGGATTGAACCTAGGACCTTCTGCATTCAAAGCAGATGCTCTCCACTGAGCCACAGCTTCTGCCCTATGGATGCAGACCTGAGAAGCTCTTTTTGCCTGCTTTATATAAAACAGTTCTTATTAAGACAAGTGCAGTACTTTCATCGTAGAATTAGATGCTAAGACGCTCTTCAGCAGAAAAAGTAGCAAGAAGAATGGAACAATACTGCATCCAAATTAGGTAAAGGGCATTTAGACCCATTGAAAGAGACTCTCTTTTCACTAACAATAATAGCAACTATAAATCCAGCCACTCTCTTAAGATTTTTCACTTGGTCAGCAGAAGTCAGCTGTTATATTTCATCGTGGTTTAAAAACTAAAAGAGCAGTAGGTGGGAAGGAGCAACCTCTGGCTGGGTTCCAGGGCTATTTGCTGCATTTGGTTCAATGGAAATTGAGAGCAATAATAGGCTAGGTTTTGCACCGAGCCATCAGCCCTTGCTTAGGGGAGCAATATTTTGGGGGATGCAAATTCTGATGCCCTATTTTGCTTCAAGGAACCAAATGCAGGTAACATCTGGCAGCAGGCTCCATCTTAGAGCCTTGTTCTAAGGCAGCACTTTGCATCTGCAGTTTCCCTAAACACCTTTTTTAATTTTAATTTTCTTCTTTAAAAAAAGAAGATGGCCCAACTAATTGGTGACACCTTTTAAGGCGATCAAGAAGTGTTTGATCCATTAATCTACCCGGTTAATCATCAAAACGCTGCAACTCAACTTCTAAATACATATGCATAAGATCAGGCTGTAAATCTTCCAGGAGCAGAAATTGGCAGGATGTGCAGAGTGTCTGCTGTTACTGGTACCCCTTTTCTGTTTCCAACAGATAGTACTGCAACTAGAGGAAAATCCCCTTCGAAATATTCACAGACAGAGCTAGAATGGCCAATGGAGAAAGACTCTTGTCTGTTTCTTTCATGCTTAGGGCCAAGCTAGACATGACCATAAATATGTGTTTGCATCTCTGTAAGCTGCCCAGAAAACTTTGCATTATTCGGTGGCTTAGATGTAAACAAGAAACAAACAACATGAAAATCTAATTCTCTTTTCCAGCCCTGATCCAGTTAACTACCAGCCCCCACTCCAGGTGATGCATTTTTCATTTTCAAAAAACACAAGAATTAAAATCAAATCCTAATCAATTAGATGCAAGGATACATTTGACTCCATTTGCCTCTTCCAACAATCTTTGGTTGCCTGTTCACCTGCCTCTTGTTCATTTAATTAAAAAAACAGAAATCAAATTTACATCTGATTTACTCCTAAAAAGCCCTTCTACAGAGAATAACTTTCTAAAGAAGCCTTAACATCCAAGGACATCCATCTGTGTGCCAAATTAAAATGAATCAGAACACTAAGTGCATTTTTATGTACACTTTCCTCTAATATATATGGTTTTGTTGGGATGGAGAACTGCCTTGCAAAATTCAGATAAGTGCAAATTTCAAAGGATAGCTATGATTCAGTTCACATTTTGTTTTTGGAAAATGTGAACCTGATAGATTTAGCTTTAAGTGTGTGCTGAATCCAGTTTCTTCTCTATCCCTACTCCATCCTGACTGACAAGAACCAGCACAGTTTTGGATGTAACAGTGGACCCACCACTCCAGCTTGGATTGCTCTGGAGCATTGTAACCACATGCCTGCTTCATCAGAAGTCCCCCTGTGTCTAATTGCAAGGGTGCACATTTATATCATTCTGATTATTAGATCAGATACGTCTTGAAATTATCTAGGTCTTGCTGGCAATAGTGGAATTGACAGCTGCCAACTTTAAAATAATAGGGAGACAAGTCCAGAAACAATTTGCGGAGTCCTACTAATCCATTGAGGGACATGGGTGGTGCTGTGGGTTAAACCACAGAGCCTAGGACTTGCTGATCAGAAGGTCAGTGGTTTGAATCCCTGCAATGGGGTGAGCTCCCATTGCTCGGTCCCAGCTCCTGCCCACCTAGCAGTTCGAAAGCGCGTCAAAGTGCAAGTAGATAAATAGGTACTGCTTCGGCGGGAAGGTAAACGGTGTTTCCGTGCGCTGCTCTGGTTTGCCAGAAGTGGCTTAGTCATGCTGGCCACATGACCGGGAAGCTGTACGCTGGCTCCCTCTGCCAATAAAGTGAGATGAGCGCCGCAACCCCAGAGTCGGGCACGACTGGACCTAATGGTCAAGGGTCCCTTTACCTTTACCTTACTAGTCCATTAAGTCTCCCTATCCCCCCATCATCTACAGTTATTGTTTGGTAGGAAACTTTGACGGTACAGTGGTATCTCGGGTTAAGAACTTAATTCGTTCTGGAGGTCTGTTCTTAACCTGAAACTGTTCTCAACCTGAAGCACCACTTTAGCTAATGGGGCCTCCTGCTGCCGCCACACCACCATAGCATGATTTCTGTTCTCATCCTGAAGCAAGGTTCTTAACCCAAGGTACTATTTCTGGGTTAGCGGAGTCTGTAACCTGAAGTGTCTGCAACCTGAGGTACCACTGTATAATGATTGTCCTGATACTGATTCTTCAGAAGAAAGTTTGCTGTTCCATGTGCATAATTTGGGGGTGTTTAACATCTGTTCCTGGGAGGCCTGCCTTACCTTCTTTATAAATGGATGCTCCTCCACACTGTGATAAATGTGATCTTGCACAAAGCAATAAAAAACCAAGGATGTCATCTCAAGAGCATGAACAGAGAAGAAGCATACAGGTGCCAAAATCTTCTCTCCTCTGCAGGCATATTAATAAATTTAATAAATTGGCAGCAATGTACTTTCCAGGGGGAAGGCAAGCATGAAACAGGCCTAAGAGTTGGGGAGGGGGTTGTTTTGCGTTTGTTGCAAAAAGGTGTTTGGCACAAAAGTCCAATGGAGTCAAAAGTCAATGAAAGAATAAACTAGAAATGGGCAACTTGGAAACTTGGGGCCAAAGTTCAGACCTTTACAGCAGGTGTGGGCCAACTGTGACACACCAGGTGTTGCTGTACTACACCTCCCAGCATTCCTGACTGTTGGCCATGCAGGTTGGGGCTGATAGGAGTTGTAGTCGAACAACACCTGGGATGGGCACTGATTCTCCACACCAGCATGACTCTATCACACTTCTGATTCTCAGAGAGAGCCTAAGCACATACAGCTGCACAGGCTTAGCCACACCCACCCACCCCAAAGTTCTACTCAGTGTATGACCAATGACCATCAGGAGGCAGGGGTCAACAGGGTTCATTCCACTGCCCCGTTAGTTATTGGCTATATGTATGGAGGGAGCGCTTGTGATCATCTCTATTGGGTTGCACTTGGTGTGCTTTCATTATGAGACTTTGATTTCATAAGTCCAGAAACTGCAAAAATATATGATGACAGAACCATAATGCACCAAAAAAATCAACACTGCAATACTTAACCAAGAATTAAAAACAACACCACCACGTAGAAACCAAATGCTATTAATCAACTGATTCAAGCAAATATTTCTAAATTTTCTAAAAGCCAGCGTGACATAGTGGGACTAAGTGTTGGGAGTAAGACCTGGGAGACCAGGGTTCTTCTACTTCTCACTTGGTTGTGAAGCTCATTGGGTGAACCTGGGACAGTCACTGCCTCTCAGCCTAACCTGCCTCACAGGATTGTTGTGAGGATCAAACAAGGAAAGAGAGAACCATGTATGCCACCTTTGGCTCCTTGGAGGAAAGGTGAGGCATTAAATAAATAAATAAATAAATAAATGTTGATGATGATGATTTGAGTTATTGCGTTTAGGACTGCATGCAAACTTGGAATAGATCTTGTATACAATTTCCCAAACTGTGTGTGTGTGTGTGTGTGTGTGTGTGTGTGACTTCTAAATTTACTGAAACAAGGTTTACAGCACAGTCCTACACATGCTGTTGGACTTCAACTCCCATCAGCCTCTGCCAGCACAGCCAATGGTGAGGGATGATGGGAGCTGTAGTCCAGCAACTACAACTGGAAGAACACAGGTCCCTCACTCCTGGCTAGCTGCATATCATACTAGAGAAAGCTTTCATTTCATAATTTCTTTACAGTGAATCTTACAATTCATCAATTTCACTTTAATAAGCAATGAAATGTACCAGGGAAATTACAATCAACTCTGATGTGTCTTAATTTCCAAGGACATTCATTTATTTGCCAAATTAAAATGAAACCCAACACTAGGTTCTTTGTCTCTTTAAAAGCTAATGAATGATAATTTACAATGGAATCTAATAGGTTTTTTAAAAAAAAAGTTTAAAAAGTAATTGAGAAAGCAAAACTATATCCCAACATAGAGAACTGTGATCTGAAAGCATAAAGAAACACACACACGCAACAATGATTGATAAAGACAGCCAATAGGTCCATAAATTAGAATTAGCACATGAAACTGTTTCTAATTTCAATGGAAGCAATTATTCATTACACATGTCAATGAGATGGAAACCTGCTACAACTTTTCAAATTAGAAAACATAATTCACGCTGTTTAAGGAAATGAACCCTGTCTACATACTTTGATCTTCTAATGAGCTCAGGCCATAGAATCATAGAACTGTAGAGCTGGAAGCTGCCCCAGGAGTCAACTAAACATCCATGACTTATGACCATCCATCCTCTGTTTAAAAACCTCAAACAAAGGAGAGCCCACCAGCTTCTGAGGTAGTAAGAGCTGTTCCACTGTTCAACAGCTCTTACTGTCTTCCAAACGTTTAGTCAGAATTCACTTTCTTGTAATTTGAATCCTTTGGTTCAGATTCTAAGGATGTATCCAGACACTCCATGCTTGCAGTGTTGAATGGTCACTTTAAACTGTGAAGGTTCATTATTGTTTCACAAGTTGTGTATGTCTTTAAGGGCCAGGGCCAGAGCAGATAATGAGACCCAGTCTTACAGCTGTGAAACATAGCAGGTGCTACTGAGTTGTATTGATTAAGCTGTGTCAGCAACTGGGTGTAGTATATAAGGAGAAGCACCTAGCTCTCCCATTACCCTGGGGGATGGGTTGGTGGTTGGGTCTGGTTTGTTGTTGATGTATTTA